TTGACACTCAACCTTTCACAAAGGCTATGGCAGAGATCGAACCAACGGATCCTGACTTAACAGGCGAGTGTTCTACCACTACACCAACATCAGTCATATAATCTATTGCTGTATTAATCAATTCATTGTTAACCATCAACTATTTTTAATTGGTATATTAGATATTTTTTGTTACATACTCGTATGTTTGTGTGTGCTTGAATAGAGCGGTGACCCGTGGACTATTCAAAAAAGAGAATCCTTTCTTTTAAGTTAGACCAATTCACTGGTGATCACGAAACTTATTTAAAATCGGTTCGTTTCGTTACATTGCCCCATTTAAAGTTCTTTATAATATATGCACTCCACATTTACATACATATACACATGTGTCGGATAATAAATATATAAATTTATGTACAGCTCTGTCAACCAAACAACAAACCAGGCCACTAGGCAAGTATCTCCTGACTGCACCTAACGAAGGCAAATCTAAGGGCAACAATAGTGAAGAATTCCAATATCCATTTGCACCCATTTCGAATTCCTTGCACATTTCTAACAGTAAACTACAAGAGCGTTTGAGCATGGCCTTGCTTTTCACGTTCAACATCTGTCATTACAAATTGCATTGTATAAGGCAATTCCAGAGCGCATAGTTAACACCTTTCTTAGCCCAAGAACATACACACAGCTTTACGCTCACACAGCTCCCTTGATATTGGATTTACCTTACGTACCAACACTTCTACGTCGTATCTACAAATATGTATTTAGAACCTTATGGTAGTTATGTGCTTGCATAACCACACTACTATATACACAGTTAAATGTACATAATGTTTCAATATTAACTTCATTTGCACTTGAGCTTGGAAATCATAATATTAAATAACTTTCGCTCTACTGGATCAAAGTAGGTTGTGGCAGACATCCCCAGTTTCTGGTTCAATTATTGCTCAGCACCATGCCGATACAATATTTAAAACATCCGCAAACATACCGTTAAAAACTAAAGAAGCTTATGCAGCCTTGAGTGGAGTGCTACAGAACTGTTAATCCTGGAGAGATTAAAAAAGGATACATGAGATGTGTTTGCCGAAGCCCTGCGTCTGTAGAAAACTGTCCGATAAAGTCAATTCTAGAACGCTGAGGGTATATGTATAATATAACTTCTAAGCTAAGTTTTTATTTAAAATGAAGTTTAATTGTTTAACATTTACCAGTTGCTTATGTTTTTTATGTTTTCTTCCATTCCTTCTAATCAATTGTACGTAATTGTAACTGGAATTTTATTAGTGTCCTCATCGTGAAAGTAATGAGTTACGGTAAAACATAAAAGCGGTAGAAAGGGATTACAAAGTCATAAATACAGAATTTGTGTTGTTGCCGAAAGGAAAAGCTTTCAAACACAAAGTTAAAATTTGAGCAAAACGAAAAAGTTTAGTCGGTAAAATGCACTCAACACTCAGGACTATGTATGTCCACATTTAAATGCAAAATAGATGAAACAGTGGATGAAAAATAAAATGAATTCATAGGGAAAGTGATAAGCCAAGAATTTCATTCGAACACGAAAAGTTGTGAAATTGCAGTTTAATCGTGAAAAAAAGTGATAAGGAAATAAAGTAAATATAATGACAAGCTGTTTGGTTTTTCCAGCCCTCACACTGCTGCACTGCAGCTCAATGGAATGAACTATAGTGGAGAGAAAACAGACTACCTACCTCGCAACCTTCCATCGACCACAACTCTCTGGGCGGACGACCTACCGACAGAGCTATTCAAACTGGAAAAGACCCAAGAAAAGAGAATCGGCACACACCACGTTTTCATTGATTTTAAAGCAGGCTTTGACAGCACGAAAAGAGCTGTCGCTACATCTGAATTTGGTATCCCCGCAAAACTTACACGGCTATGTAAACTGACGCTAGGCAACACTAGAAGCATATTCAGAATTGGGAAGGGTCTCTGCGGCAACAACGGGTACATGCAATTACTGCTAGCTGTGGCGCCAGCACATCATGCATTGACTAATCGAGCTGGCACTTGCCTTTCCTAAACCCGATTCCCGTCAGCAGCAGATAGCCAACACCAGTTTTTGTCGAGTGTATGGTATGGCAAGTACCTGAATTTATTGGTACATTACACTACGTTGGCATGAATCGGTATTTTAGATAGATTTCAAATCTTATTGATTTATTATATAACTCATTTATAATTTTGTTTATTACATGTGGAAGTAATTCAGTCTCCAACTTTGTCCCTTTAACCCTTCAGTTTTAGGGTATAAAATTTAATTTATCTATCCTTTGCAGTAATGCAAAATTTGATAGCAACTCCAGTTGTGTTGGTTGTTCCTTGTTGGCTTGTTGGCTCAGAATCTCACTCTACATGCCACACTCCTACATAGCGACATATTGCGTCAGAAGGCACATCGTGGGCGTTTGCATATTGAAATTTTGCTTTACTAAGGATAAATTAAATGTATTACAATATATTGAGGCAGAAGAAAACAAATATTCGAGATTTTATAATCTTTTTGTATTATATTGATAATGTTTGGCAATGTTTTACTTTAAAGATCTGGCTTAGGAATATTATTTGCCTTGGTAAGAAACATATTTCTATTAAATACTTGAAAGAATTCAGGAATACTATGCTTATCACAATTCTATGCTTCAGAACACTTACAGACCTATTCTGGCGAGGTAACAAAATTTACTTTGGTATTAAAATTTACCATTCAGTAAATTTTGTTACCGTTTCGTATTCTGCGCTCACTGTTACTCTGTCAATTTCGTTACCAGCGAAATAGGAGGTAACAAAAATATCTGCTTTTTGATTTTGTGATGTAAGTTTGAGAAAAAGTAAAAAACTAAAATGGGTTGGCATATTTTAGGCCTGAAATTCATTGAAGGTGATTTTTAAGAAGTTTTCGAGACTAAAAAATAGTCCTTTTATTCAGCTTTTTTTGATGTCCAGGCATATTTTCCATAATTAGGTTCAAATATTTATGATTTAATAAACAAATTAATAAAACTTTTCAATTTTTTTTTGTGCACTTTCTTTCATTTCGATGTGAATATTTTTTTTTTTACTTTATCAACTGACAGAAGTAATTTTACATAGACGAAAAAAGCAGTGCTGCCACATTTTTTTTAAACATTGTAACCAGTTCGCCAGAATACCAAATTGAATTTCGGGTGTTAAATAAAAGTAACAAAATTTACTTTATCAGTAACAGTGAGACTAGGCCTGTTAATGTAAAGTAGGAGGCACAACAACATTTCCTAGAAATGCTGACTTTTCAAGAAATTTACCTTTTTAATGTGACTTAATATTGAATTGGTCGAGAATCTCTTTAAAAAACTTTTCCCTTCTCTATACCCAAATGTTCACAACTGGAATCTTTAATAGTTGCAACAGCGAAAGGAGAACATTTTGAATTCGAGCAAGACCAATGAGTTTTAATTAATATCTTAAAAATTATAGTGAATGTAAATTTACAAAAAAACAACATTCTGATTAAGTTAATTAATTTACATGAATTAATATTAATTAGACATCATCAGAAAAACAAAATTGGAATCATAAGCATTGTTTTTACGTACAATACAAAAAACCAAAAAAAAAGCAAAATTCAAAATGATAACAAATGAATTTCACAACATTATATTAAGAAAAGGGGAGACGAAAATGACTAAGGAAAGTTATTGGTCAGCTGGAACCCAACGCCAAATGCGCAGCTGCACTTTAACATACACGCCAATTTGTCGAATATAGGTGCACACGTCTTTCTTCTGATCTTTTTATAAGGTTCGTATATGTGGTTCAAGCTGCATGAGATATCTCATAAGTTATCCAACTGTTAGTAAGAGCACGTACTTAGTTACCGCTAACACGCATTTCCATGTCGACACCCACCCACCCAACACAATAAGCATTTACGCAATTACTACTTACACCAAATAAGAGCACATAACACTCTGCACCATAGCGAATAGAAATAAATATAATATAACAAAAATATAATAATAACAAGCAAATGCTTGAGCTTAATAATATAAGAAAGGAATCTCAGCAAATGCTGCAACAAACAATTTAGTAGCCCACCACAAGGATGGTTGCCGCGTAAATATGTGAATTGTTCGGCAATCACTATGACAATAAGCGCTAACGGTGTTGCTCCTGTTTTTCACATCTGTTAATAAAAGCAAAGCAAAAGCGGTAAAGCTGTAAAAACACGAAGGCATTTAAAAGTAAGTACGTGTAAAAATACGCAAAGTAAAATAAAATAAAACCAGAAAATAGAATTTCCATTTTATTTTAATAAGTCCAATCATTCCTTCGTTTACATCCAAAGCATATGTCAAGGAGAAAGTTTTCGCATTGGTTTCATAAAGTTATGGCGATGACATAAAAATATTTCGTTTTTGGCGCAAAACATTGCTACCAAACGGTGATTGCTACTTGATCTCCTCCTCAGTTAGTTTAACCTGGGCCACCACCTTTCATGGGAAGCGAAAGCTCGAAATAATCGAGTTAACCGCTTGGTTTCTATTGAGCTTGACTCTGGTTAGAGCCTCTGCAGTTTATGAAATGAATTTGTTAGTAAATACCAGCCACACGTGAATATCAATATTTTTTTATATTGGCATTAAGAACTTTTAGCCAACATTTGTCTTTAATTTGTAACTGAAAATTGGAATAAAAATATTTACCATTTTCCTTTTGCTTTTAAATATATACGATTATATTATATATGTGTATACTAATTTTTCTCTTTAATTTACCACAATTCATTGAATTCCAAGGCAGGCAGGAATAGCTTTATGTTTCTTAGAACAGAATCGAAAACTTTTCAACTTAAAATACTTTAACCATTATATATAATTAAAAATAATTGGAAAAGGTAAAAACTTTAAATCGCTTACCAAATATACTCCCAGAATACTTATTCTTGTTTAAATATTATAACATTTAAATTTATTTCTTAATTTAAATATTATGTATTTCAGAGCAAAAGTCTAACGAAGTTGGCGAAACTATCCGCAAAATATGTATTTGAACTCTGAAAATGGATAAATATTTGAAATTCTAAGGTGAGTACACACTAAAGACAATAGTAGTTCTTGCCTTGGGAGTTTTTTCAGTTTCAAAGCAACTGTTGAGAAGACAATGTAACATTTATTCCTTTATTCTAATATTGTCCCCTTTCATTTTGTTTTAATGCTAATATACTGCTATACTGTCAGGTGGGTTTTCACCTGTTCTTTCTAATGAAGTGGAGGCCTCCATTTTCCTCTGCTTCTAGCGACAGAAACTCCATCGAAAACTTATTATATTCCCATCTACCCGGAACTTATGACCTAACCAGTGTGGCCGTTCTCTCTCTCTCTCTCTCTGACCTATATCAATGTCAGTGTGTATCTCGCACTTGAAAAGTTTGACTTTCGTTCGTCGAGAGAGGATTTTATTTTTCAATTGCCTACCCAATCCAAGGTAACACCTGTTGGCAAGAGTGATTATACGTTGGATTTCAAGGCTGACTCTTCTATTGCTGGTTCTTAGATAGACAAAATTATCTAGGACTTCAAAGTTATGACTGTCAACAGTGAAGTGGGAGCAGAGTCACAAATACAATGACTGTTCGTTTGGTGACTGAGATGGTGGAGATATTTCGTCTTGCCGTGGTTCACTACCAGACCCATTCCATATGTAAGCATATTTAAATTTATATTATGCGTATAATATACGACATTCGTTCCCAGTTTGCATCGTAAAACGTAAATTTGTAAATACTCAATTTGGTAAAAACATTTTTCATTTTACCACACACACACACACGCGCACAACGCAAAGTGGTATCCGAGTGTGTATTTCAATTCTGTGGTGAAAAAGTAATAAGCAAAGTACGCTGCAACATTATACAGCAAAAAGTATTGTGAAGCCCCAAAATATGTACGAGTTAAATAATTTATTTCAAGCCTACGTGCCAACCTCCGACTTTGTGGAGATGCACAAAAACCACTTTCCCTGCTTATGCACCGCAGCATTAGATTATACTGAAGCTACTTATTACATAATTACACTCATATATATATATTAGAATGGATATCCATGGTACCGGTGCACGGATGCAAGAGTTAGGGAACACCCTTGCACAAAACTGTTGCATATTTGATAGCAAATGACCCAGCTGATAGGAAGTGTCAAATTCTTGCCAATGAAGAGAAGTTTTGAATTTGTTGTTTAAAAAAAGAAAAAGAAAAATTAATAGATTTTTTTTTACTTGATTTGTTAGACTTCAAAAAATGTACTCTTGCGCGCATTCACTTTGCCGCGTGTTTTGTTGTTGTGGTATTGCACGGATTAGATAGTTATGCAATCCGTGCAATCCGTGCACCGTGCCAATAGAAGGGTTATCCAAGGTCAAGAGAATACCCCTATAGTATATATGTATGAGCATATTCCTATGCGAGGGCAAAATTATTACAGTTGCATCAGGGAAGTGACCACATTTTAAATTGCCCTTCAGACGATAAAGCTGTTTGTATGTACGTGTAAGTCTTTGGATAATACTAGAGCTCCAGATACCCAAATATCGGGCACTTCGAGCGATGAACAACGAACGATTGTGCGAGCACTCGTTGCTCAAATGATCGAGCAGCTCGAAAATGTTCGAACAAAATCTTGAGCTCTGCTTTAGTACCATATTTTTGCCTTCAAATCGAAAATAAGATATCTACAAGTATGGTCTCAAATATCGTCATAAGCACTGTCTTTCGTAGCCCTGCAACCCGTTTGGAGCCTTGGGTCACGACTTATTCGGTTTAAGGGTCCGCTAAAGTCTAATTGTAGCGAGTGTTCACCAGAGGTGCGGCTGCGAGCGGTCATCGGTCTTGAAGCAAGCGGCACACTATATAAATGTGTAAAAACTTTAAGCTTTGCGCTAAGTTTGGGACCTTCCACGTGGAAACCAGCTCCAATGAAACAATTTATATCACGTCGGATGAGATATCCTCTTTCTGATGACGACCATGCAGCTGGAATGTCCGGTGTCTTAATTGGAAAACTGCCACTGCCTAGCTGGTTGATGTTCTCGTAAGAATAAAGGCTGACAGCACCGTCGACCACAGATCGATCATAAAGTGATATACGGAATACATGTCTCCTGAGTTCTTGACATACGTAAGCTCCGAGGACCCAACATCGCTCGGACCATTATCTTGTTGCAGCGTCGATATGCAGCCGCCTTTGTATTTCAAAGAACGCCCGTAAACAAACACAAGGAAGGTTCGACGGTTCACAACAGACTGCCAAGCGGTTTCCTACTCGACTTGCACTTCTGCACTCAGTACAATGACGACTGTCGTGTCGCAGTGGCCCCATCAACTCAATGTGGCTATAGATATTAAAGATTTATGGTCCTTTGCGCATTGGTAACGGAAATACCTCAGTCGATGGAATGATGAGCGGTGTAAGATATACGGTGACATTGACACAGTTCAGCGAATCAAGAAACAGCGGCTGCTCTGGCTAGGTCACTCACTTGGAAATAACAGGTAGAGAGGGACCTGGCTCCACTTTGCATCTCCAATTGGTGCCAAGCAGCGGAAAAAGGGAATGAATGGCGTGATATTATAAATTCGGCTAAAATCGTGTAAGCGGTGTCTATGCCACCTTCACTTACAGTAATGATATTTGAGGTGGAACGAGCAAAACGATGATGCGCAGTCCTTACAATACCTGTAACCCATCTAGTCTAGTTCACGTTGGAATAACAATTTTTGGAGTAGATTTTAACAATTTTAACGCTTTGTGCCACTGCTAAGTGGCCCATTTTCATAAATGCTTGGCTTTTAGTTAAAACAAAACATGTTTGGTTTGGAAATTAAGTTTGACAGATGTACAAAATACATATATGTATGTATATTAAATAAATAATAAGAATTTTAACTCTATTTATGTACATTATAAGATTATTTCCTTAAAATGTTTTACATCCGCTCCTTAAAAAACTACGCTTCGCTCAACATCTTCTCACTCAATGCAGCAAACAAATGAGAAATTAATATGTATTGGCATCTGTTTGTGGACCTCAGCATTTCAAGCATTTCAAGTGCAGCAGTATTGGCATTATTTACACACGGTCTCCTCTTGCCACATAACCGTAACAGCAATATTTTTTTTATATGGTGTGAAACTTTAGACCAGATTGGAGCTGCCACGGGCATCATTGGTAAATTGATTTATGCACCTTTTGTGTCGAGGCCGACATCTGCTAACACTGTTCCACAATTTTGCTTCAAACATCTGCATAAACACATTTACATATAAACTAACGTATTGACTTTACGGTTAGGTGGAATCGTAGTTTCTGCGAAAAAGATGCAAAACACAAGTGGGAATTTCAATACATACGAGCACAAGCCTTTGTACATATCCATGATAGTCTCGGTTTTCAAATGTGAGACTTTAATTTTGGTAAATTTTCTAAAAAAGAGAAGATATTCATATCAATCACGTAATACTCATCTATATTCATTGGATGCTGAAACTGCTTAAAACCTATAATTTCTCCACATTTGCACTTAGCCTTGCAGGGAACGATTTCTTAACACATTGCATATTCTACTCGTAAAAATAATGCAGGCAATTCATTAGCGAAAAATATGCAAATTAAGAGAGCTCTTCTTATAAATAAACACACTTAAACACATATGTGGCCTAGCGACCTTGCTACCTGTCTGGTTGATAGGCAGAAGATAAAAATGCGAAAGAGTGAGAAATTGAATGAGGCAGCAACAAGCTCACGCTTATCTCTGACACGAGGCACAAAAGTCACCAAATTGTAAAGGTTAGTGCTCAGTGCTTAGTCATTTTCAAAAACAAAAACAAAAATTCCCAAGTTACTTGTGCGCTTTCAAAATTATAAGTGCACACATGTACTTATGTAAAAAAAATACGTTATGTGTTTATTGCGTATTTATTTGAATATTATTGGGGTAGTAGACAAATTCATGGTCGCATTTGTCTTATTTTTTACAAATCAAATATAAAAGGATGTGCTGAATCGCTTAAATATTTTCCGAAATACGCTAAAAACTAAAAAAATCTGTCTTTTAAGTTAATTTTTGTTGAAGTAATGTATAATTTTGTGATTAATTTAAAGAATAAGCCATAATTTTTTTTTGCAAAATGGCGGCTTCTCAAAAAAAATTCAATTTTTCTCCATATTTTTGGTCTTGAATTGCACATTAAAAAACTTTCCATCGTTCATCGTTAATCTACTAGATAATATAAAGTACAGAAAATATGGTTCTGAAACCGGTGTAAAGTGTAAAATTTTGAGGTCTTAGTCACCCCACGGCTATCAAATGCTCTGACGCGTCGTTACAGATAAGCATGTAATTTTCAAAATAACAGCCGGATCGATTTGAAATTTTGAGAGTATTTACTTGAATACATGTACATTACGAAAAACAAATAAAAAACGGATTTGAAAATTCTAATAAATTAATTAAGATTTCAATAAAATTTATTTTCTAAAACTTTCTGGGATTTGAAGCCGGGCGTTCCGAATGGCAGTATGCTATGCTAACTAGACTGTTACCGCGGCCGTCTTATTAATATTATCTCTTAAACTTATCTTTTAACTACCTTATTATTATTTCGAAATCATAAAACTTTCGCCTTTCAAAAATTACCCCCCAAATTTTTGTATTAAATCGTTACATTGACCTTGTTATAACCTTTTATTTATTTCTGGTTTATTTGAAATAATATGAAAAAGAGAATTAGCTATTCGTTCAATTACTTTTGAACGAGTATGTACGTAAATAAATGCTAAAGACGGTAAAATCTTGCCGAATGCCCCCAACCTATTTACCCGCTAGCGTTTGGCAGACTTCACATACACACATACATTTAAAAATATAATATTAACTCGTACTTGCGCATTTATTTGTATTACAAGTCACTCAACGCTCCGTGTGGCATTCATTTTGACTTTTCTGCTACTTATCGCCGGTATGAAAGTATGCGGTATGCCTTTGTGGCTTAATAAGCACCGCAGCAGTGCGTGCACAGATATACAGATACAGATATATATATTAGTTATTTTTTTCGGCATATGTATATGTATGTGTGTATCTTAATTTCGCGGCAAGACTTTTTGTAAATTTATTTCTACACTCGTTTTCCAAGCTTCCCCAAATAATAAAAGTTTCATGTTATATTTGCCAAGCCAATTAAATTAAAATTAAATTCATATTATGTAGTATGTATTTATACAGTTATGTACATATTAGGCAATGTGCTGGAAATCTCCATGCCGCAGCATAAATTAAGTGGTTTAATACTTTCGACAGATTGTTACTGTTATTGCAGTAAACATTTGTTATGGTTACGTATACGCCGTGTGCTTGCAATTAAAATGATGTGGAGGTGCTCGGGCTCTTCCGACCCAGTGTGTAATAATTACACTTCTATATTGCAATTAAAATTTGTTTTGAATGTTAATAGAGTGCAGGGCAAGATTGAGCATATGACCGCTAGGTTACAAGCTGTTCTAAATGCAAATTTGCAAGCGCACACTCCGAGGACTCAACATTGACTCGGACCACTATTGGATTTCGCAAAGGTCGCAAGAATAGCTGGTGCTATGAGGACTGCCATGTCGCACTGGAAAGAAAACAGGCTACCTACCTCGCAACGTTGCGGTTTCGATCGCACATGCGGGATACGATAGATACCGAGAACTGAAGAGGGAAGCAAGACGCATCTGCAGCCAAAAAAATGAAAGAGGCAGAGATGCGTCAGTATGAAGATTATACTAAATTTATGCAGGAAACACTTCTCCAGCCTACTGAATGGCTGTGATGTTTGTGTGAAATGGAGCATCCGGAGATGGTGAACCCCAAACTTCAATCGATGACGATGGAAGAAACAGCGGCTGCTCTGGTTAGGTCACTCCGTGGAAAATACCAGGTAGAAAGGGACCTGGCTCCACTTTGTATCTCCAATTGGCGCCAAGCAGCAAGAAAAAAGAATGAATGGCGCAAAGTTATGAATTCGGCTGAAATCGCATAACTGGTGTCTACGCCAGTAAAATAAGTAATTAAGATACATGCCGGCTTTCTCCTCGTTGGGAAAAATACGTGCAGCATTAGTTAAAATTCGCCATGGCGTATTCGATTTGCTTTCTACTCTGACTGAAACTTTGATATAGGATATTCAAATAAAATTTTGTAGTTCCCAAAATATTATTTTAAGCTATTAATTGGAAATGAGAAATCTAATGATCACGTATTTTAATCCTTTAAAGTTTTAAAGCGTACGCTTTTTTTCGAAGTGACATTTCATATATGTACATATATACACGTATGTATATCGAAACAAATGCAGCCTGGTTTACGTTCATTTTTATTTTACATACATATATTTTTTACTCAATCTCTCGGTTTTCAATCAGGATAAAAGAAATATACAAATTGACATTTATTTTAGGTATTAAATTTAACCATTTATTCCGCTGCGTGTTTCATGAAAAATATGATAAGCTTCAAAGCATATTATAACAAAAAATTTCACAGTCAATGCGTTTTCATTATCCCAATATGGTTTTCTATTTTATGCTTCCCTGCATGATTATATGTACTTCCCATAAAAAAACATGTATGTATGTACACGTATATTTTAAAATAAAATTTTATCAAACACAAAATGTTTTAATTGCATTTTGGCCAGGGAAAGCAGCAAAACCTAACGTCCACTGTCCACTTCAAGCAGAACTGATTTTCAAATTTTTACATCGCGGGGGCCCCATGGCGATTAGAAAATTTAAATTAATTTTGTATTTAAATTAATTTTCTATAACCTTTTGGATGTTAATACGACACCAGGACTAGAACACGAGCATTCCGAATGGTAGTACGCGGTGCCAACCATCGGCTACCGCGGTCGCCATATAATAGTTAGACTCTAAACATAAAGAACTTTAGAACTGAGAAGAAGGTTTTCAAAGTAAACTTAAGTTTGGGCGAATATTTTGTGAAATTACTGTTTGGCTGTCAACACAGCTCAGACTTTTTAAAAACTTTACTCGTTATGAAGAGGTGAAGAGAATGAGCACGTTTGACTCTCAACCCCGAGATCTACCAGCTTCAATCATTTCTCGAATGCACGAATATCTCAAAATCAAGTACTTTATACAGCAAAGCGAGGTTTCTCAAACTTTTTTGTAAAATAGAGAGAAAAAAAATTTTGAGAGCAACATTCTGGGCATGCTCAAGTTAATTATGTTTAAACAATAGAAAAATTAAAATAAAATATAAGAGAATTAAAAAAGTTTATTTGTGCTTATCAAAATGTTAGCTTTCGAACAATTGCTCCCTTTCTCAAAATAGGAAATGGAAATCATTTAAGGGTGGCACACACTGAAGAAGCCAATACTAGACATAAAAATATAAAATTAGACTTTGATGTCTACAAAACAAAATTCACTCACAAGAAATATATTATATCTTGATTCTTAATATGAGATATTATAACATTTTCCGTTGACGAAATTTTTTTGGTATCACGGCCTGGGTGTCGGCAACTCTGCCAACCGCTACTTTCAAAGAACCAGTAAAGAGAGCAAAATTCACACCTAGTTCAAGTCATCTCTTTCGCACGCACACAACTGCCTTCCATTTGACATTTGCGCACACCCAGCATAGCCGCTTTCACTTGCACTTAATGCGCACACCACACAGCCGAATGTATTTGAATCATTCACAATGAGGCAATGAAATATTCTATTTCGATTTTTGCATGTACACTTTCAAGATGGCCGTGTGGCGTTCCGTGTAGACACGAGATAGCGAAAGAATAAATTTTGCATATTTTCTGCATATGACTTACCTAAGATACTATTAAAAAAACTTTGTGTGGAAAGTTTAAGTGTGAAAGTTAAGGGATAAATTAAGATTTTGAAGAATTTAACGTTATTGTGAACGCTGTGGTGGATAGAATTTTTTCCAAAGATTTCGTTGTTGTTGTTTTAGTGTTGCAGCAGTGGTGGTAAAATAATAGCACTGAGGAAAACTCATAAAATTGGCGAAAACTTTGTGAAAATAAAAATCAATTTAAATGGTTTTTCATGTGCCATAGTTCGAAAGTGGTCAGCATTTGAACAATTTCCAGTTTGCGTACGTATGTTTGCATGTAGTGACAACAAATTACAATGAAGTATAATTGTTAAACCGATTACATGTCGCCGCACTGCTTATAGCCCTTGTGCTTATAAATCTTCATGTGGCGGCAAAATTTTGACATTAAAACAACAACTATACAGTACAACAACATAATTTAGAAATATCTAATGAAAACAAAAAACGAAAAACATTCATAAAGAAGTGTGGCTTGAACATTGAAATTGTTTGGCTAAAAGCAAAGAGTGGATAACAGAAAAGTGGTGAAAATGAGCAGTGAATTGATTGAGGAGGGAGGTGCATTCGATGCCGGCAGCGACGATGCGTTGGTAACGAATGGCGCAAACGAGACGGACGAAGGAGTAGCCGAGTATTTGGAAGAGGTAAAGACTGCGAAGTGGTTGTGTTTAGTGTAACAAAAAGTAGATAATATAAATAAAAAGTATACCATTCATGATTTTTCTTGCACTAATAACCAGTTATCTAAAAACAATGTTGGTCTAACTTAATATAACTAGCATTTGAAAGGTGTTTCTTGTTTTCAAGCCTTTTCAATAGCTACACGTGTATGGTATACACATTTTTCCTCATAACAATACTAATGCTTTTCCTATTGGCAGCACGACCCAATGGCCGCTGGTAAACTGGAAAGTCCCTCTAAACGAGGCCGTAAGGCACGCCGGCCGGCAGAACCAGATGAAGTCGCAGAAGAAAATGTAGAGACTCTGGGGGATGAGGAGGAAACTGAAGTTATCGAGCATATTTTGGAAGAAGTAGAAGAAGAGGAAGAAAATGAAGACGAGGGAGATACGAAAGATGTTGACCAAAAGCCGGTTTTGCTGAAAGCAACACAGCTGCCGAAAAAACGTAAAAACGTTTTAGTTAAGCAAAATTCAAATTGCAAAATAAAGGTAGAAGAAGAAGAATATGTTGACGATGACGAGCAACCAACAAGCACAGCACGAGAAGCAGCAAAAATGGAAAATCATGTGGATGAAAATCAATGTCGCGTCTGTACGAGTAAGGAGTCACTTATCAGCCTTTTCAAAACCATCAATAAACAAACAATAGCTGATAAATTAATGAGTATTTGCCCTACTGTTTCCATTGCTCAGAAAGATTTTATGCCACAATTTATTTGCAACCCTTGTTTGGATAATGTAACTATCGCTTTGGAATTAAAAACAAAATGTGAAAATACTGAGCGAGAATTACGGAAAAAATTGTCACGAAGTAAGAACAAAGTACGACGTCCCACTGGTTACGTCGTCATAGATGCAACACTGGATTCCGATCCGTCCGACGAAGAGCCTAACGACGATGTAGAATTTAAAGTATCTGATGATGGTGGCATAACAGCAGAAGACGACTCAGATGATTCTGACTTTGGCACAACATCGAAAAAGAAACGTTCTCCGCGAGGTGGACCCAGTAGACGTGGAAGACGTAAATCGGCTGCTGTAACTCCGGCACCAAAAGTCAAAGAGAAGAAGCGCATCGGCCGTCCGCCGACAAAAAGATCATTAGACTCGCCACCTATGTTTAAGGAGGAGAGCAGTGATGACGAAGAAGAATCGCACAAAAAAATTAAAAAACGTAAAATCAAAAGTTCTCCACCATCAGCGGAACAAGTAGAACTACCTTCAGAATTTCCGTGCGACGAATGTGAACAAGTGTTTTCGCGAAAATTATCATTAATCTTACACAAAAAGGTGCATATGCAGCGTGAGCCCTTAAAGTGTGAGGTTTGCGGGCAAATGTTTAAAATTCAGGGTGCTTATCGCAAGCATGTGCAAAAACATAACGAAGAGCCGGCAGGATTTGAATGCAACAAATGCGAATATGTAGGATCAAGCAAAGCAGAGTTACGGCGACACTTGGTGGATGAACACGATGAACAAGGTATTTTGTATCAGTGTGAGAAATGCAAACGGAAATTCGTCTCTGAAGCCCGGTTGGAAAAGCATCAGGATGGTCGTTGTCCGGGGCAAGAACGTCCGCCGAAATCTAGACCAGATATGGATAGTTTTGCTGTTGGAAAGGACTTATTTAAATCAGTTGCGCCGCTGACTACTACATACTGGAGTGATAGTTTTTCAGACTAAGTACATTGGCCATGGCTTTTAGAATTGGATAAGCGTGACAAAGCGCAATCACAAAGTTTTATGAACTTTGCAGCCAATTATTTCAAACTTAATTTCAAATGCGTTTATCGTTCAGTTTCTTTTGAGAATTTAAAAAAAGAAACTTACATAAATACGTATTTTATTTATATGTAGTTATGCTGTAAATGCTAGATATTAGGAGCTACATGAACATCATTACCAGTTGCAATATACCTATTAGTATGTACTTATGCCAAGTGATGATTCCAGAAAATAAATAATTCATATTTCAGTGTCTGATGCTTCCTTATTTGATTTGTATTAAAATTTTTGGTAAAAATTGAACAAAAACGGAAACCTCACAAATATTATTTAAGCATACAAAGTTTGTTATAAATAATTTTTAAATGTTTCAAATTTTTGATTAAACAAAAAGTAGAAATAAAATGTACGCATTTTCACTAATAAGTTTTCAGATAGAATAGTTTTGAAAATTTATATGTATGCTATTTTGAACCATAGAAAATACAACGGGAAATTTATTACTTATACAGTCTAGCATTAACGGATATTGTAAATCAAAACATATGAAAAGGTAGTACTAAGTCTGGCGTTGTAAAGCATCTAGAATGCGTATCATCAAGATAACTAATTTTTCGTAAAAATAAAGTAAAATAAGTAAAAGAAATATAAAATTTAAGAAAAAAAGGTTATTCTTTAATTATTACTTAATTAAATAATAGTTGGTACTAGAGTTTGCTCGCGACTTCGTCCGCATGGAATTTTGATATATATAATTTATGTTCCACATATTAACCAAAGCCAAATCATCCAATCAATTCCATGCCCACTTCCCGGAAGAAAAAATGCTCCCAATGGTGATTTGGTCCAAACTACCACTATACCATATTTTATATACATACATAAGATAATTAATAATTATTCCAATAGATTTTTTCGAACACATCGGTCCCGGGATCACTTCCCCGAAAATCCTACGTCATACGCAGAACACACTTCAAGTTTCACTTCTCTATGTTCAATAGTTTAGGCTGTAGGTCGATCCGTTCGTCGTTTCCGATAAAGAGCTGACTGGCCCGGCTTCACGGAATACACCGAGAACGCCATCAGACGTCACTACTGGTGAACGTTACTTCCGCAGGGTCGTCGAGACCGCTGCCGCCCACTTCCGCCCGCTTGATCTCTGATTTCACAGATTTAAACACTAAGATTCACAGTGTTGTTAACAACCATAAGCGGAAAAAGTGGGAGAAACACTTATGGACAACTTGTTGTCTAACCAGCCAACAAATGAGAGCCTTATCAGCGGATAACCTCATTACCGGCGGGGTTGAAGAGGTGGGTCATTCATCCACATCCGCTGATAAGGCTCTCATTTGTTGGCTGGTTAGACAACAAGTTGTCCATAAGTGTTTCTCCATCATCCACCTCGGTTAGAATGACCCACCTCTTCAACCCAGAATGTCAGGGCATAGCTATCCGGTCAGGCGATGTCGAGCTCGAAATATTTAATATATACATTCCTTCAGTTACAAGTTGCCCAGCTGGATACACCCCTGATATAGGTGCGCTACTCATGGGCGAAAACCGTTTGGTTTTGGGCGACTTTAACGCGCATCACGATCTTTGGCATTCTATTCTCCTCTCCCCAGTAGCCAAGACACTTGAGGCCTTACTGCTCCCGACCTTCACTCACCATCTGCGTCCAGCATCGCATCAGCATGGCTTCCGAAACGTGCACAGCACCACAACAGCACTTAACGCCATAAACACCCAGATAGTCCATGGCCTCAACCAAAACCGACCCTGCGCGCGAACTGTCTTAGTAGCATGGACTTGTCAAAAGCTTTTGACACAGTGAATCACTCAGTGCTACTAACGGACATTGAGGAATCCTCATTACCGCCGGGGTTGCAGAGGTGGGTCATGGGCTACCTGAGTGGTCGACAATCATCGGTAATATTCCGAGGTGTAACATCTAAACCCAAAAAAACTAAACAGGGGGTTCCGCAGGGTGGTGTCCTCTCCCCGCTACTGTTTAACTTTTACATCTCAAAACTCCCTCCACCACCAGAAGGAGTTTCCCTAACTTCGTATGCCGATGACATTACGATAATGGCGTCCGGCCAGGATATTGATGATCTCTGCTCGAAAGTAAACGGCTACCTCGCTGATCTCTCCCACTTCTTCACAGCAAGACAACTACGAATCCAACCGACAAAATCCTCGGCTACCCCAATAGGGGTAATCAATCTTCGGTAATATTCCGTGGTGAAACATCGAAACCCAGGAAAACTACACAAAACTGTTCATTGTACGATAATGGCGTCTGGCCAGGATATTAATGACCTCTGTTCGAAAGTGAACCGCTACCTTGCCAATCTTTCTCACTTCTTCATTGCACGAGAATTGAAAATACAGCCGAGCAAATCCTCGACTAACCTCTTCACCAGCTGGACGAAGAAATACTGACTTGACTGCGACGGGAAATCTGATGTCGCCGGAGCATCACTTGCACAGTGAAGTATCTATGCTTAGAGTTAAGGGGTATAATGATTTGCTGTGCAAACAATTCCTATTGAGACACTACTGCTGGGGATACCCCAATAGCCATCTTATCGCAGCTGAACCACCACCTAGGCACATTAGAAAGAGAGAAGTCAACATGAAAAACACCATCCAGCAATACGTACAAGAACCGTTGGACAGGACGGCGTATAGACAGGCACTGAAGGCCATTCACCAGGAGTCAGTCAACACTTTCAAAGACTCCCTTTCCGTGAACGGCGTGCTCAGCGAAAAACTACCAGCCATTGCAGACAACGAGCTCGAGCTGCCTCGAGAAACCTGCGTGTTCTTTGCACAATTTAGGTCTGGATACTGTAGCAGGCTAAACTCCTACCTATCCATACTCGACCCCAGCATATCCAATATATGCCCTGCATGTAGATAGTCTCCGCACGACACTAATCACTTCTTCACATGCCCCCTTAAACCGACTCATCCCTCAGCAACAACAATAACATCATGCGTAGTGTCGTGGGTCCGAACCAAATATTATTTTTATCCCGGCGACGCTTGTTAAGCAAGCGGCGATAACTTTCCATTTACATGGCGTTCTCTTAAATGGGTAGTGACAGCTGAATCACTATGTTTTTGGGTGGATGCATCATAACTGTACAGGCCCCAAATTAAAATCGTCGAACTATCGGCTTTCACAACGAAAAATGGAATGTTTATTCGGCAAAGAATGAGTTGTACCGTTAATATTTTCTAGGAATCAGTCTGCCATCAAACCGACCATGTTTTGAAAAGTAATTTTCAAGTTGAAAGTAACATCCGACGGCTTTTCCGTACCCAAACTTTGAAATTAGCATTCATTTTAGAAGTCAAACCCATGCCGCAAAACTTGAAAGGATACACATGCAGAACATGGCGAATAAGTAATGTCCAAAACACGGATGCGCATATTCACATATGTATGTAGGTCACATTTCTACAATCGCATACAAACAGCCTGAAATTTCTAACACAAAACGAAGTTAGGCCTATTGACCCAGAATAACAAAAATAAAGTAAAATAGCAATGACAGGTGAAAATTGCTTCAATGACTAAACATAAAAAGGTAAGCTGTGACCATTTCGAATAAATTGCACCTTATTTATCCGTTATATGCCTCTTTTTGTGGTAAAATATTCTTCATAAGCCACATTTGTATGTACATAAGTCCGACGTTTCATGCATCATTGAATTTTAGACCCAAACCATTAAGTAGCAAAGTGGAGATGAAACGAAAACAAGATGAATCAACAAATATTATTTGGCTTTTAATGCCATGCGCCTTCCCATCGGAAGCTGGTAAGTAATTGTAAAGAGTAGTCCTTCTTCTATTAGCGCAGTTCAACGCTAAGAGCACAATACCACCTGTCGAAACGCATACCAGGTCGGCATGGTTTTTTGTACGCTTGGCATGGCAAGGGAAAACGTGATATCTATTTTTAATCCATTTACAGTTCATATAGAGGTGTGGAAATGTGGGTGGTTGAGAATACGGGACACGTAAGCATGAATTTGTACCAATTTGCTTAAGTCAAAAGCATATTTGCCAAACCTGGTATACTTGGTGCAGTGAGCTTTTGGTCATTTATGTTTATGCTTATGTCCATACATATGTATATTTGTATATTATATAGGTTTTCTATTGCCAACATGCACACATACATATATTTAGCTCGACTAACACCGAGCTTGCGGCTCTTTTAGTGGTAGCTATGTTGCATATTCTATTCTTCAACCATTATCTTACACGTAGGCATTTCACTTGCCACGCTGATGAAGAAAAATCGTTTCCAGCTAGCGACTTAAATGAGTAAGCGCTGCGAGGATTTTCACTCGATATCGCTTAATGTGCTACTGTTCATTTGTAAATAAATTTAAATAGAGTAGACCACGGTATTGGTATGAATTTTTAGTAGACGTTTTTCTTCTTTCGCAATATTCAACACTTCTGCAGCCTGCTGGATGGCAGTGGAAGTGCAACATTGGTAGATGGCGAGCCCGATTCCCCAATCGTTGATGATGAATAGTCGTTCCATTACCGAATGTAAAGAAGTTCGAACAGCAATAGCCCGATTGAAAACAACAAAAAGGCGGGAAGCGATGGTTTGCTGGTCGAGCTACTAACATACAGCGGTGATGAAAGCTTACCAGATGATTGGAATCTAAGTGCGTTCTGCCCAATCCATTAAAACAGGGATCCCACAATCTGCGCCAAATATCGTAGAAAATACCTCCTCAATATCGCACATAAGGTCCTAACAGCAATCTGCTTGAACTTTATCGTATGACTTTAGACTTGGTAATTTCACAACTGAACATATATTCACCATGTGCTAAATCTTGAAAAAGATTTAAGAAATGAGTTGTTTCTATGTGTTATCTCCGAATTTTGTATCTTGGTATCTCATCCGCTCGGACCACATGACCCAGAAAGCATAGCGGCTCTCTTGATTCGCTCTACTAAGCCAATGTCGCCGTCTATCTCGTACAGCTAATCGTTCCATTGGCTGCGGTACTAGCAGTTGCTTAAGAGCAAATGACCATAAATATTATCATATGTGTAATTCAGATAGTAATTCACTCTCAGAACTTATCGCTTTTGAACATTATTTACTTGTTATAACATTTAACCCACGGGAGGTTCAGTCACGACGGTAACATTTCGATATGCTGATTTACTTGGCGATTAATTAGCGTACTTCGCGTGTAATCTTCCATTAAAATGGTATGCGCCGTGGCATGAATGAAGGCAAACGTGCGTGGAAATAATACACCTGTTTGTAGTTTAAACGGCGAAGGATGCACTTGAAATACACTTAAAAATACATTAGAGATTTGAGGCGACTACAAATATGGTAATCGCGGGAATGCATTTCATTTGTTCGTTGTTGTTTCGTATATTTGTCTTAGCAAAATAAATGGAGAGGAAAGCCATAGGAATGAGAAATCCAAAAGAATCATCAAAGGAAATGGGACGATGGAGAACATTAATGGCGATTGCAGTGACATCTGCGTGGCCAGAAAAAGCATTTTAATGTTCAAGAGGATTACCTAAGGAATGACATTGAGTGATGAGAGCAAAGAAAAATGGTGAATTCGCTAGTGCTTTCACTTTAAAT